CCTTCTGAAAATCCAAATACACAACATCCACTGGTTCTCCATTGTCTATGATACAAGTAACAGCCTTAAAAAAAATCCACCAGATTTGTCAAACACCATTTCCCTTTCATAAATCCATGCTGACTATGTCCAAACTTGCCATTCTTTACTGAATGTGTAGTTATCATTTCAAATATAATAGTCTAACATTTCACCTATTAGTGGTGTCAAGTGAAAATGTCTGTAGTTCTCCACTCTCACATCTTAAAAACCATGGTTACGTTGCTACATTTCAGTCAGCAGGAACCTTTCCAGAATCAATAGAATTACAAAAGATAGCCATAAATGTGTCCAATATTCCAAAGCCCCTCCCCTGGGATGAAGCTCATTGGACCAGGAGATTCATCAAATGTCAATATTGACTGGTCAGCTTTCCATTATTGACTCTTCTTGAACAACCAAGAGACGAAATTATATATCTTTATCATTTTTGAGGAAATACTTCTCAATTTTAAACTTGTGTGTACGTGCATTCTTTTAGAACTTCTATCTGATTTAGTAACTAATAAACTTACTCATTAACTCAAGAGAACCTAGTTAATCTGGCTCCTTTTAAAAGAGAAATTATTTTGACCTGGGAAAAAGGTGTCCATAACGGAGGGAATCCTTTGTAAATTGACTGTGTTGAACTAATTAAGGAGGCAGAGGATTATAAGGGGGAACCAGTTCAGCCCTCCTCACTCAGGACTTGACAATTTTGAGTATTCCATGTGAGGAGGTAACTGGAAATCATAATAACTTCAGAAAATTTGCGGAAGGTCTGTTCATAACACTATATATTTCCACCTCTGCATAAACATAAACATAAATATCAGACTGTGAATGCAAAAAGATCTGGTCCTGGCAAAACTAAAACAGCTGGTGGTGAGGGGGGCGCGGGAACAAAGGGCCATCACAATCAGAATTGAAACCTTTTCGGAGCCGGTGAGACCAGATCATCGTACAGGATGGTATTTATTATGGGGAGCAAAAGCGATTATCCCGAGCAATGGTCACCATCAGATACTGGCTAAACTCCACCACGGTCATCCTGGGGTGTCCAGAATGAAGATGTTGGTGAGACGTTAGGTCTGGTGGCCAGGATTGGATGCAGACATAGCCACATTGGTGCAGCAGTGCCCAGAGTGCCATCAGGGCAAAAATTACCACCGGCGACTCCCCCACATTCATGGGAATGGCCGGGTAAACCCTGGACATGGTTACACGTCGACTATGCCGGCCCTTTCATGGGCTCATTGTTCTTAATAATTGTGGGTGTCCACTCAAAGTGGTTGGATGTGCATAGAGATCATTTCTCAAATACAGGGACGACGATATAAAGGCTGCAAGCATCTTTTGCAACACACGGGCTCCCGGAAGTGTTGGTCACAGACAATGGGCCGTTATTTACCAGCAGGGAATTTAAGTATTTCCTAAAGTCGAATGGCATTTGGCATATAAGGATAGTTCCATACCATCCATTGTCCAATGGTCTGGTGGAAAGTGTTATCTAAACCTTGAAAGCAGGCTTATGCAGGCTCTCTGCTCCTATGATGCTGCTTGGCCTGCTGTGTTCATCCAGCCCTGCATCTTGTTGTCTCGGATTCACCAGCATCTGCAGTTCCTACTATCTCTTAAAGAAACAGCCTACAGCTTCACTTAATACCAAACTGTCCTGGTTCCGATTTGATTATCAGACCACCGTCATGCAGGGATAGTAGAGTTACTAATGGGTAGAAGAGTCTGCACCAGGTTAAATCTGATCCTCCCAGAACTGTGGCAGTTGGGACGGGTGGGGGCTGTGTGGAATGCCAGACACAAGACTCCTCTAAGTGAGAGAGTCAGTTTCCTTCAGGGGACAAAGTTTGTTGCCAAAACCATACAAATGGCCATGCATACGTAAGAGACATGATCGATGCAAGGTCAGGTTCTGTGACATACAAAGTTCGGGTAGGTGAACAAGCACATGGACCAGATAAAAGTTTCAAACTCACAAGCAGGCAGGAGCAAAACATACTCAGCTCCTCAGAATATCCAGAAATGCTGTGAAAACCCATGGGTTCTCCCCCTCTCTCTGGTTTCAAAGAAACTTCGGAGTCTGAGATGGACAGGGCAGATGTTGCAGCCTCGACGCCTTAAAAACTTGAAAAAGAGGATGAATTTCTTCCAATATGCTCCGGGCGTAAGAGGTGGGCTATGGTTCAGTACATGCCACCTGTATCCAAGGCTGAGTCACAGGAACTAGACCCAGTGTGAAAACACCCCAGGAGAGGCTACAAGAAAAAGAACAGGCCTACGCCCCAGACTTAAATGGGAGGGATGTAGTGACTGTAACATGTTCAGCCAGGTGGTCCTCATAGAATATGAGTTCCCTGATTGGGGCTGTTAACCTGGTCCAACCAGGGAGCCCTGGCTGACGGAGGTTCTTTTCACTCTGAGAGCTGGCTGAGGAAATTGGCCCAGTGTCAATTACTATGCACGATGGTGATAGGATACCAGTCCCTGTGGAGCTATTTCAAGTATTTCTTGCATAAACGACAAAAAAACAATAATGGATGTGCAAAGATAGTAGGAACTGCAGATGCTGGAGAATCCGAGACAACAAGGTGCAGGGCTGGATGAACACAGCAGGCCAAGCAGCATCATAGGAGCAGAGAGGCTGACGTTTCGGGCCTAGACCCATGCAAACTTCCTTTTTAAGCCTCAGTTAAAAGCTGGCAAGTACATCTCAAAATCAAAATGCATGAATTTTTAAAGAATATGTTAAGGTTGAAAATAAAATATTAAATTAATTATTCAACATGATGTAGGGTTCTATGGTTCAATAATGAACAAAGTTGTATTACTGACCTCTTTGCACATTTTATTTTCATTTTGGGTATTTTATTTGTTAGAAAACTGGCTATAAACAGTTCTCAGCCAATACAATTCCTGTACTTTTATAACTTATATCAATGAGTTGGATGAATGGAGTGAAGATATGGTAGCTAAATTTTCACACGAAAAGACAGGTAGGAGAGTATGCTGTGTAGAGGACATAACACGGATGAGTGTAGATTAAACGAGTGTTCAGGAATGTGCTTAGGTGGGTTATAAGGGGATGGGTCTGGGTGGGATGCTCCAAGGGTTAGTGTGGACTTGTTGGGCCGAAGGGCCTGTTTCCATACTGTAGGGATTCTATGATCTATGATCTATGATCTATTTTGAGCCTTGCTGCCACTAATTTAGTTGTGAAATTAGAAAATGAAATCTAGAAGGAAAGTTAGCTTAGGAAGAAAAACAAAGCAGAGAAGATGACAGGGTGAACAGAATTAAACTATTCAAAGCTTTGTATTTTTTAAACTGAAATTAGTTATGATTACTTTAGTGATTTGAATTCTTCACAAAAAAGTCACAAGCAAATGTTTGAAGGCTGAAATGATTTACAGAAGTTTATTTACAAAGAGGATGTTATGCATACCAACAGCTTCATGATTCAGCAGCTAATAGTATTCAGATGAAGACCTATCTAGTTATGCGCCCAATAGATTTTTGTTCTTTTCAGATTTCCTTGAAATTTACCTGACATTACTAATAACTGTGGCCACATCCAATTCTCTGAATAACCGTGGTCCAGCACTTCTAACTGCTCTTTAACAGCATAATCAAGAGGTAAAAAAATGGCCAGATAAAGTGAGATTGAAATAAAGACTGACCTTTTACAGTTCCATCACTTGAAAAACATGTGCTCTTAACCTCAAAATAAAGTCAGAATATTATTACTATGACAGAAGGTCAACTCTAAAATTGGAAGTTAAATGATCTTTAAAAAAGATTCTGTTTTGCAATTTCTTTCACTATCTTGTTTTAGTTACCAGCAATTCAACTGGTGGCTACATAAAAATGTTCACAGACCGTGCCTACATTAACAAAATATTGCTACCAAATTTTATATAAGTTTTCTGCGAGGGGAAGATGATGGTATAAAGACACTGGAAGAGTATTCCAGAATTCCAGGCTGGCAACTCAGGAGACATGGGTTAAAATTGCAATTGGAGGAATTTAAATTCACAGAATAAATCTAGAACTGAAAGCTCTAGTAATGGTGACCATGATCTACTGTCAATTGGTGCATAAGAACCAATCTTGTTCACTAAGGTCCTTTAGGGAAGGAAGTTTGCCATTCATATCTGGTGACTCCAGATCTACAAAAATATGGTGACTCTTTCGAAATAAAATTGCCCTTTGAAAAGGCCAAGCAAGCCACTCAATTGAAGTGCCTCCATTTTATGCATGAACATCAAATCTGGAGCAGCAGTAGGCCATTTGGCCCCTCTAGCCTGCGCCACCATTTATTAATTGATTATTAATTATTTCTAAACTGTGTCCCTAGTTGTCATTCTCACACCCGCCGCCACCAGCCTCACGCTGCTCAAATTGGCTGCCATGTTGCCCTGCATTACAATAATGAATACAAGTTCATTTTAAAGATGTCCACTGTTGTCAGCGTGACATTCCTGTAGCTGTGTGACACCTATTCAAACTCCACAGTTTGCCAGTCAATAAAATATACACAAGATGTTTTGGATAAAGACTTTTGTTCAGAACTAAAGAGTTTTTCTTTTGAGCAAGTCAGTGTAGTTGCAGTGCTACTTTATCTTTCCCCTTCCTCTATATTTTTAAATGATTCTGTCAAAATGCCATTTCAACTTGCATTTTTCACGTCTGAAGTAGGGTGCAATGCAAAATGTGTTCTCTTCACAGATATTATTCAATCTTCTGTGCACCATTTTTGTTCCTTAGAGGCTTACAGCATTTGAACTTCTGTTACCCCTTTTTACATATCATGACATGCCATGATTCTGGCTTTATTCCAACTTTAAAGAAGAAAACTCAGTGAGGATGAATAAATGCATTTTAAGAAATAAAGCTAACTTATCTATATATCAATACTGCAAAATAAACTTTATATCGGAGACAAGTGAATACAACAAAGACCTCACCAATCCTGATGCTCCAGCCAATGTGCTAGGAACTGCCGGACCTCCATGGGAAAGGTATCATCATACAACTGGTCTACCTTTTCCAGGAGCTGTGTATCCAGTTGATGAAGTTGATGCCATTGGGACATTCTGTCAAAAAGTTTGAAAAACATAAACAATCATTCCAGAATAAATCTAATTGCTGGAAATTAAAGAACAAACTGATTAGATTTTAAAGAAAGCCAATGAAATTTTCAATTGTTGCTAAGGTAATTTAAAGAGCTCATAACATACCTCTTCTTTTTCCTGTTTCCTACAACTGCTCATGCATAACCGACCCACTTACATAACTACACCCACACATACCCCCACATACCTTGTTCCTCCAGTCTGAATTATTATTAGTTGTAAATGTGTGTTTTGGAACATTTTACTAACAAAGAAATATAATCAGCAATTATTGTTTCTGTAGAACATAGTAGATAGTTGTGAAAAATATATTACAAAATGGACGATTTGTTGTAATGACAGCGTAGCAAAAATCAATAAGAGTCACTAAATATCTTAGTAGAGGGAAGGTCATTTAAAAAAGGCAGAATATCTGACAATCTTATGAGTTTCATAAGGGAAAAAAAGGTGTGAACATGTGAAAGTGTTACAGGTACTTTACCACAAAATATAAAATATAATGCAACCACAAACACAAACACTGACATTTCTAAGCTGGGCTTGGCTTTGTTTTAATCACATACTGCCAGAATGGTATATTTTCTCTAACTTTGAAAATGTTGATGTATCTTGATCTGAAAATAACTGACTTAAAAATAATGGTGGGCGTGCCCAATTCCTGATGCACACTCATCTTGTGCGGAGCTTTGCACCAGTGAAGGTAAAATGAAAGTCTAACCCGATTTGATAAATGAGTGTTCAAATTTCTCACTATTTTCATCATATACATTATTCTGAACAAATCCCTCATACTGATAACTGTAACGTGTTGAATCAAGCACTATTTGTTGTGCAATTTTTAGAGGGCACATTTTTAAGGTGAGAGGGGAGAGATTTTAAAAAGACATAAGGGGCAAATTCTTTACACCCAGGGTGGTTCACATGTGGAATGAACTTCCCGAGGAAGTGGTGAATCTGGGCACAATTACAATATCTAAAAGTGGATAAGTGCATGAATGGGAAAGGTCTAGAGGAATACGGGCCAGGAGCAAGCAGGTGGGACTAGTTTAGTTTGGGATCATGTTTGGCACGGACTGGTTGAATCAAAGGGCTTGTTTCCATGCTGTATGACTCCGAGTCGATGTTCTACATTCAGTTCTGAGGAAGGGTCACAGGCACTGAAACATTAACTCTGATTTACCTCCACCAATAATGCCAGACCTGCTGAATTTTTTGTGCAATTTTTGCCTACATTATGCTTTTGTTATATACGCTTATTTCAGTTCATTTTCACCTTGCTTGCTGAGAATGGGCAAGGTTTGAATCAGTGACTGATTCAAGGAAGGGAAGAGAGATGTTGAGGCAACAGATGTTTGTGAAGAGAATTCCAAAGATTAGGGCCTATAAAGCTGAAGGCACAGTTACGAATCTTGAAGCAACGGGTGCACAAGGGGGTCCGAGTAGGGGGAATACAAAAGTCGTTGTGGGTTTTTGGGCTGGTTGGGATTCGGAGATAGATGAATCCTTGAAAGTGTTTGAACACAAGGATGAGGAGACAGCAGATATTTAGATGAGCTCATCAAGAGGCAAGCTGGAGCAGTGGAACAAGGTTCTAGCAACAGATTGGTTTGGGGTGGGGAGTGGGGGAGGGGGAGGAGGTTATATTACAGTGGTGAAATTAGGCAGTCTTTATGAAAATGAAGTAAAATGGTCAGATCAACGTTAAAAAGGTTGAGGTTGTAAACAGTCTGCAAGATCTAATGTCCTCTGAGGTTCCCCTGCACACACATAGCTTCTCAGGTTTCTGTCCTAACACATGCTCTCCCCGGGCTTATCTCATCCATAAGTCCCATACTTGTTCCCTTGACCATGTTCGTAAATAAACTGCTGATCACCCAACATCCCTCATGACTTCCATGATGGCAGCTCTCCCTGCTCGTGTACAGTTTCTCTCTCCAACAAATCTGTCATCCAAAAAAATTTGTGACCTCTCCTCTCTTGGAAATCACTGTACCACTCCATTTCCAATCTTCGTTCCATCTCCAATGTCCTTGATTGTGATCTCATCTTCCAAAACGATGCCCATCCTTCCTAAAACTCACTCCAAACAGGTTTACATGTGTGCCATGATGTTAAAATGGCTTTTACCAAACTGTCAAACGATATCCTATAGTAACTGGAATGAAATAAACTGTTCCGCCTCATCTTCATCATGATATGCAGCCATTAATACAACTGACCACACTATTCTCCTTGAATGCCTGTTCACCATTAGCCACCTGGCTTGTTACCTAGTTTTATGGGAACATAGGAACAGGAGTAGGCCATATAGTCCTTCATGCCTGTCCTACCATGCAATGACATCTTGGATGATGTTCAACATAGCATAATTCCATTGACTAGACTTTATCCCTTATGTCTTAATAACTTTGGAAACTAAAATTCTGACACCCTCAGTCTTAATTTTAAAAATTGATCCAGCATCAATTGCATGCAAGTGTTTCCTAACATTAGTCTTGACAGGTCTACCAGTAGAGGGACTAACAAACATCCAGGGTCAAATAGTATCTTTTTTGCAACAGTACTTCTTAAAAATTCAAGGATTTTAGTTATTATTTCACCAAAGACTTAAAAAGAAATGAAACTTCTGATTCTCAGAGAAGTTACATTTACTAGTCCATGTCCAGACCATATAATATGAATTAGGAGGGAATCGGCCATTCGGCCCCTTAAGTCTGATTCACCAATCAATAAAATCAGATTGTTAAGCTCAAATCTGTATTCCCATCAACACCTGATCATTTTTCCAGCAGCTGGCCTAACAAGAATCAACCCAGTTTTGCCCTGAAAAGATTCAAAGATGCTGCTTCCACCAGCTTTTCAGGAAGTGAATTCCAAAGATTCTCAACCCCCTGTGAAAAAAAAAATCACTTTGTCTCTGTTACAAATGGTCGATCTGTGATTTTTAGACATTGACCCCTTAGTTCTAGATTCTCCCATTCGAGGAAACATTCTCTCCATATCTCCACTGTCAAGACCCCTCAGGATCTTATGCATTTCATCAGGTCACCTACTACTATTCTGAACTTCAGCGAATATAAGCCTAGCTTACCCAACCTACCCTCCTAAGACAACCTGTCCATTTCTGGTATTTGACCAGCAAACTTCGTCTGAGCTGCCTCCAATGCATTTATAACCTTCCTTAAATAAGATATTCAATATCGTTTACAGTACTCCTGATGCAGTCCCATCAGTGCCTGTCTAAGTGAAGAATAATATCCTTAGTTTTGTATTCAATCACCCCATGACAAATAGTAATGCTCTATCATCTCACCTAATGACTTGCTATCCCTGAATACTAACCTTTTCTGATTAATGCATTTGAACCAGATCCTTCTTTATATCTGCAATCACTCGTCATTTAGATAAGATTATTTTTATTCTTCCTGCCAAGACAATTTTACATTTTCCACATTGTACTCCATTTTCCAGAGTCCATTCACTTAATCTATATTATTGTCACCTCCTTGTGTTCTCTTCACAACTTACCTTCCTGCATATCTTTGTGTTGTCAGCAAATTTAGCAAACATATCTTCCATCTCTTCATCCAAGTCATTTATATAAGTTACAAACAGTTTCTTGTGGCACACCACTTGTTACATATTGCCAACAATTTATTCAAACTCAAGCCAAGCAATCTTCTACCCATGCTAATACGTTACCCCCTACAACATCAGCTTTTATGTTCCGCAATAATCTTTGATCTGACATAGATTTCCAGAAGATGTTGGATGCAAAGTACAATACATTCACCAGTCCTCCGTTATCCAAAGCAGATGTTACCTCCTGAAGGAACTTCAATAGGTTGGTCAAACATGAACTTCCTTTCATAAAACCATTTTGACACTGCCTGATTACCTTGAACTTATCTACTTAACTTATGATTAACTTCTTTAAACATAGCTTCTATCATTTTCCCTATGATAAGCTATCGGACCTATAGTTTCTGGTTTTCTGTTTTGAATAAGTGAATTACATTTGCTATCTTCTAATTTAATCTAATCCTTGAATCAAGGGAGTTTTAGAAAATTCAAACTAATGCATCAATAATCTCATGAGCACTTCTTTTAAAACTGTAGGAAGATGTCCATCATGACTCTGCAAGCTCCAACAATTCACTCAGTACATCATTTCTCCAGTCATTGTAATTTTCGTGAGTTCCTCCCTCCCTTCCATTTCCTGATTTATCGGTTTCTGGGATGTATCCTTTAGAGTGAAGACTATTGCAAAATACCTATTTTGTTCATCTTCCATTTCCTTATTTTCCATTATTAATTCTCTAGTCTCAAATCCTGATGGACCAGCACTCACTTTATGAACTCTTTGAAAATATTTATCGAAACTGTCCATTTTTTATTTCTGACTAGCCTTCTCTCATTCTCTAATTTTCCCTTCTTATTAACCTTTTGAAGATTCTTTAGTGTTTTTTCTTTCCATCTAATGTTCTGACATGCCACCATACTTTGCACATTTATGTGCTTATTCTTTAAATTTGATACTATCTTTAGTACTTGTAGTCAATCATGAATGGTGAATCTCTCCCTTGGAATTTTTCTTACTCATTGTAATGTATCCGTTCTGCCTATTCTGAAAGATCTCCTTATCTATTCTTTAATCTCATTTGTCACTTCACTTTAGTCAGCTCCACTTTCATAAGCTCTAATTTTCTTTTGTATAATTAAAGAAAAAAGTCTATTCCTCTTCCCCTAAAACAGAAAGTAAAATTCAATCCTACAATGGTCACTGTTACCTAGGAGTGCCTTCATTATGAAATCATTTATTAATCCTACCTCATTGTGTAATACCAGGACATTGGCAAATACAAATATTCTCAAGAGTCTGGTGTTGTGATTTGATTATGGTCATGCGATATAAATGTCGAAGTAAGAATTGCTTTATTTTGGATTGAAATGGCAAGTTT